AAAAAATATATATATGCTAATAATAATTTGTTTCTAATATTTTTCTTACCATTTTCTTGATCAGTACTGCAGGGGAATTATAGATTATATTAATGTTTTCAAAAAACAACTTTTGGCTTTTTTACTTTCCCAGTTAAATATTTTTTTATTTTTTCAAGTACTGTTCTTTAAAAAAAAAAGGCTATTTCCTTTCTTCCTCCTATTTGTGCTTAATTTGTTCTTTTTTTCCAGATTGCTGAATTGCATGCTTAGATCATTGTTTATTATCTTTTCTCTGCTCTTCTAGTACATGTATTTAAGGCTTTAAAAATTCTCCTCTAAGCACGACTTTTTCTATATTGTACAAATGCCTTTCAGTTACAAATATTTTCTAATTTCCTCAATTAAAACTTTGATTTTTATCTCTGCAGTGCAAGGAGAATACTACAGACCCTATGCCAGTATTTTCTGTTTTACTTCTGCGTTCTGTGCCAGAAACCAGCCTGTTCCTCAAAGGCTCATAGGGCTTACCTTGAAGTATCTCCCACTTCTCTAAAATCTTGGCTCATTCCATAAGGATTCAGGATCTTGAATCTTTAAGTTCTGGCTGCATTGGTTTCTTTCTGTAACCATCAAATAACTATTTATTTTATTTTATTTACAACAGATTTTATAGCTGTTGAAACAGGAGTTCCTCTCCAATGTGTTAAAATTTTACCAGTAAGATCTATTTCACCTCTGCTTATGTTACGGTACATATTTGTTCAACTCATTATTATCTAGATAATGGCAATCTAGAAATAGCAAGATTATTTTTGAAAATGTTTTGCTTGAAAATTAGATTAGTTGTACTATTTTCCCTTTTCGCGTTGTGTACATGTGTGTATTCCTTTAATATCTGGTCTTCTCACTTACAAAATCGTAACATTTTTAAAGTATTGCCATGGCAAAAACTGTTTTGGAGAGGTCTCAACCACTAATCATTTTGGGATTTCATCAAACCTGTGTATTCCTTTTTTGGTATATCAATATGTAATTGCTGTGTAAGGGGTGACAATTGAGAATTCCAACTAAGGAGGTTAAAATTTCAGTGAAATGTTCTCTGCTTCATAGCTGTAGGTCAGCACCTTTAAGATGTTTTTATTTGTTATACTGCAAATTCTTTCTTCCTACTGAAAACATTTCAGATTGCTGTTGGTTGGTGAGTAGCATTATCTTTGCATAGAACGAATAATCCTTAAAAATTTTCAGTACTGTAATGCTACTTTTGGGAATATCTCAATCATAAAACAGGTCATTTATCCATCATGTACAAATCAGTGAATTATGATGTATGTGGTCACTTGGATTTAGGGTCCATTTGTGATTATTTCCTTTATTCATTAATTCAATAACCAGGAAACAAGACTTTTGCTGCCAATATTTTATGCTCTTTCTAAGAAGCAGCAAGCTCGTATTTTCTCTTCTGTCCTGGATGGTATAATTTCTGTCTTTTAAATCATGTCAAATGACTCTTTGTTTATTAAGTTTTGCAGACTACTTTTTCTCCCTGGAAGACCCTGGATTCAGGATAGCAAACCTCTGAGTGCCTTCTAAGCCATGTTTTTGTCCAAGTGTGTTCAGGTTATACATACTGAACGTCAAGGACAGTCTTGAAAGAGAAAGGCCACAAAAAATAATATCATGGTGTCTGAGGAGTAGAACTGGGAAGAGCCAGGTATCTTGTCAGTTTGTCTTGGGCCTGAGGAAGGACTTACGTTCTGGCTATGTATGTTGAAACTACAGAGTGATGAGACGTATTCAAGAGGTCACTCAAGAAAATCATATTTTTCTTGCCACGCCAAATAGCTTTAGGTCCTTCTTAGGAACTGACAGCAGCCGCAATTTCTTCTTCTTCATTCTGGAAGACTGACTCCCTGGGCCAGCTATGATGGCCCCCATCATTTTCCACCCAGCTGGAGCTATGAATGGAGGATCACTGTCGGAACAAAGTGCATGCAGGTCTGATTAGGTAGGGCTGGACAGAGAAGGCTTAGAAACTGAGGATAGGCATGGCATAGAGAAGCTTCCATGGTATAACTTTGACAATTACACTATTTTGTTCTCTAAAATTATTATCATTCTCCTATTGAAACAGATCCAAAAGAGACTTCATTCATTTCTTCAAAAGCTTTTGCACTCTTGTCACTATACAACCCAAAAACAAAACTGGTGATCACGCCGTAGAGCAACTGGGGAAAATTGATTGTCAGGATGAAGACAGGGGAGAAAACATTATGAGAAAAACACAGGTTGCCTTGTTGGGACTGTTTTTGGAAGAAAAATTGTTTTGGAAGGTTATAGTCAGTGATGACAGTGTGAAGGATGAATCAGAGGAGCCAGTGAACAATTGCATCTGACCAGGATGTGGCTAAAGTAATAAAGGAAAGCCAGGGATGCTGCATTTTATTAATATTACCCCTACTGCTTTCCAACATTTCTAAAGGCTGGGATACTTATATATGAAGTAAAGCCTAAATAGTTTGGATTTTTATGGAAAAACATAAACATGCATTTAGCAAATGCATGGTGCCTCTAGTGAGGTTGCTGTTCATCAAGTATCTGTTTACTTCTATAGTTCCCTTCAAAATAACTAATGAAGATGCTCGCTCCAAGTCCTTCTTCCTCTGCTCACACAAATGGTGACAAATTTCTTCTATTATAAAATAAGGTTTTTAAACTAGACAATCTCTGAAGACCTGACAGCTTTGATAGTTGAGGCTCTGCTTTTGTGAAACCTGAGGTTTTGTGATTTCTCATGCAGTTTAAATATCGAGTGACATTTTCACTGTGCTCAGAGACAGCTCGGGTGACTTCTGGATCTTTGTTAATTCCAGGAATGATGAAAACTGCCAGATGCTTAACATTCAACTCCATTTTTTCCGAGTGGATGCCAATGCCTTACAGTTCGAGATCACAATTGCTTTTTGGAATATTGTGTGATAACTGATACCACAGCAGTGCCAGCCATTTCAAAAGAAATGTGACACTTGTTACTTGCCTCAAGAGGGCAATTCAGGGACAGGCGGGGTGGAACTTACTGGATTAAAATGAAGCTTACTGATGAAGGGTAACTCACAAAGCTTATGCCAACTGTTTTATTTTGGCAGGTCACCAGTGCCACTTAGCTCTCAGTTTAACAATTATAGATGGTAATTGCTTTGAAGTTTATCAATCTACCTAAAGGCAAAAGCAATCATCTGATTAGTTACAATATTACTCACATCAAGATCATTAATGTGTCTTTGCCCATCAGAATAATGTGTCGTTTGGTAAAATGAAAAGAAACTTGTGTTAGGAGTCAAAGATCTGGGACCTAGAATTTCATCAGTTATTTGCTGGACATCCTTGGAAGAAATTATTTGTTTTCTCTGCTCCCTTATCACACTTAAAATTTAGAATAATCTCTATGCAACTTTATTTCTATATTCTAAGATTATTAAAAGAATACATTACTTACAGCTACATGTAATAGATTATTTAATGTTTTAACAAATTAATAAATAAATATACTTTAAATTTTTTTCACACAAAAAGCAAGATTGTTAAAAGAGCCAGAGAGAACACCTAGTTTTACCCTCTAGTTTTATAGGTAACTGAACTGAGGCTCAAAGAATTTCATTAACTTAAGCAATGTCTTCACGTTAGTGGAAATAGAAATTCAATGTGCTTTCCATTAGGTCATATTTGTTCTATTTTGAAGATCAAAAGAGATAATAGATGAAATCTATAATATAGAAATGATAATATACTATACTGAGTATTTGAATAGCATATTGGCAAAGAAGAGTAGGTAATGGCATCTCTATTTTCCAAATATAAAGCAAATTCATAGGTCAATTGAAAGATTACTGGGGTCAGCTATCAAGGGATAGAAGTAATGGGTTTTTGTTGCCTCTCCCCAATAATATACAGTTTGCTTTCAGTAGGGACTAAAGTTACTAGTCACTAAGTGGCAGCACAGAATAATGAAAAGAGCATAAGCTCTCGAGGCAAGCAAAGTTAGGTTGCAAACCTGGACCCATCCCCTACTAGCTATATCACTTTGGGTAAACATTTAGCATCCCTGAATATGGGATTCCTCAGAAAAAAAAAAAAAAAGACATATCTTATTAGCAATGATACTACTAAATATTTATAGAATATGTATCATGTGATAGTTACTGCTTTAATAGTTTACTATTACTGTTTTAAGAGTTTTAAGTGTATTAGCTCATTGAATCCCCAGAATAGAATTATTGTGAAAACCATGTGAGAAGGTTAAATATATAAAGCACCTGTTATAATCTTCCTTCCTCTTACATACTACCGGTAAGTTTGATATTCATGCTAGTGAACATGGTATGAATATCAAACTTACCTAATTTGAGTCACTGTTGAAAGAGTAGGGGACCCATATGTTGCAGGCATATGGCATGGCAAATGGGTCCCCTACTCTTTCCACAATGACTCAAATTAGGATGCATAAGAATGGGAAGAGAAAATATAAAGATAGTGATTGTTTCCTATATATCACAATATGGAGACAAATAATCAGCCTTTAGTGTTTTTCCCGAGCATTAATGACAATAATGCCCTGGCATTGCTCTGTTGTAATATCATGGTCATCTTTACTTAATCTGAAAGAAAAAATCATTTCCATGTATGTGTTTTTAAATTTGTGTTGTTGATGTTTATCCATGAGTAAGCAAAAGTATCTCTCCTCTAACAAATGTCTTCTAATTAAATATAGGCAAACCACATTCATTATATAAGCATATATCATCTGATTCCTGCAATTTGATCTTTTCTTTAAAAAAAAAAAGCATAAAGAGAAGGATCAAATTTTAAAAATATATATTTTTGTCAAGAAATTATATCCTATAATCAAAATCAAAATTGACTTTCCAATTAGGAAAGGAATTCAGGTCAAGTATGTGACCTAGCAGTTTCAAAACATGACCACATATATGGTTTAGAACAAATATTAAAAACAAACTCTTTTTTGCTGTCCTATTTACCAGAAAGTCTTTTCAGCAGTTTCTGTAAATTCTTACCTTGTTGCCAAAGAGTGATTTGAGGTTCAAAAGCAACTAGAGAATAGAGCTATTATTTCTTTGACTTTTCATTAATTCTGGGCCTTATGGTGACTGAACATCTTTCTTTCCAGAAGCTCAGAGACATTGTTTACTGAGCTGCTATGCTAATTTGTACTTTGGAACAAAGCTTGAGCTAGTACTTATTTCAGAGATGGTGCAAATGAATTGAGTAGAAGCAGTGGTACCCAGATCTTGTAGTTTTGGAGATTACCAAAACCTCAACAACAAACTATTTGATGATTACTCTTAAATCTATACCTTTAGTCATAATCATTCTTCTGAATTCTAAATATATTAACTGTGCATAATATCCTCACCTAGATGTTCCAGAGACACCTAAAATTCAACTTGTCCCATATGTATTTGTAATATTCTACTCCGAACCTGCTAACCCTTTGGTATTCTACATCTTGGTTAATAATTTACTTATCCACATAGAAATCCCAGCCAGAAACCTGCCATCATTGTTGATTCTTCCTTTTGTTCAGCATTTGTACCCAATGAGTCTCTCCTGACCATCAGTTCTCCTTCCAGAAAGTCATTGAATCTGCCCGTTCTTCCAACCACTATCCTCATTTTCTCTCTCCTGGATTATTGTCATAGCTTCCTAATGGGTCTGCCTGTCTCCAGGGTAACCACTTTCCATTCCACCCACTGAACTGTGCCAGAGTGTGCTTTCTGAATAACAAATCTGATCTTGTCACTCACACAATTAAAATCCTCCAGTGGATCCCAGCCACTTACAGCATGAAAATTCAAACTCCGGAGCACAGCCTACAAAGACTGTTTTTGATCTGGCTCCTAGGTCTTTCATCAGCAACCCAGGACCATCCTTCCTGAACTTCTCACAGTTTGGCCCCCTGTAATGCTCTCTTGTGTTTCTCTGGCTTTGCACGTGCAGTGTTCATGCCTGGAACAGCCTTTCTTTTTTCCACCCCCTAAACACCTACTCATCTTCTAGATGTAGTTCAGTGGCACCTGTTCTGTGTAGCTCTTCCTATGCTCATCTGTGCATATTCTCAGCAGCAATCACATGCACATCCATATAATAGGTTTTACTTCATTGTATTTTAATTCTGTTTATATATTTGTTTCCCCCTCCTTTCTGTGAATTCATCTGAGCATTGTCTTTGTATTCCCAGCATCTAGCAGAGCGCCTGGCAGTAGTGTAGGGACTCAGTGCATGTTTGCTGAATATGAATGAATACGGAGGCAGCTGGTCTCAGTCAAACCGCGGCAACCCTGGGCATGCAGCTCAGCATCCTCTGAAACTCTGTCCTCATTTTGCAAATTTAGGGACGACCAGACCTATCTTCCTGTCCTATCATAAGGATTAAAGAAGACATGGGAGTACTCTATGTACAGTAAGTTGATACTTGTATAAATATATTATATGTAAGATCATGTAATTATTGTGACCCATTACACACTGAACAAGATACTTTTTAAAACTGATTTATCAATACACATGGCACGTAAGGACCCTTCACAAAATAGACATACAATGTACCTGCCTTCTACTCTCATCTTGGTGGACTTATCCTCCAAAGTCTCGCTTCAGGGTTCGAGAGTCTCCCAAGCCTGTCCTGTCTCCGCCCAAGCAGAACTTATCATGGTCCTCTCTAGGCTCCCTATATATCTGATATATGTTTCTCTTATAGCTTGCACCACTGCATACAGCTTTTGTTTATGTATTTGTCTTTTTCCTATTCTACTGGACCTCCTCAAGATGCTATCTAATTTTCCCAGAGCTGTTACATCCCTTTTCTCAGTGATTACTCCTCTGCAAAATGGGTCTCATTCCGAATCCTAGAACAAACTGAGGACAAGATCCCACCACAGTTCCCCGGATTGTCCCTCCCTTGGATGAAGGGTATGCTGCTCAGGGAGGTACCCCTGGGTTCAGGGGTTATTCTCTGAATTCCCCTTGATGGCTGCCTAACTCGTGCTTCGGGCTCCAGGGTGTATTGGAGGTTTCCCAGGCATTTTGCAGCATGATTTATTTCAGAGCTTTAAATGGATGTGTTGTCCTTGCTTTCCCTCTCAGTATCAACTCAAGTCTCTGTATGAGGTTTGGCACATTCTCTTTACTCCCCGGTTTACTCTTTGCTAATATGCTGAGCTTTGCTCAGGAACCCTGAGCTATTCGGGGGCATATCTCCTGGACGACAACCAACAGCCGTCCTGGATCTCCTCCCATTCCTCCCCTCCTCTGCTCTCCTTCCTTCACTTCCTCCTCTCTGTCTTTTTTTCCCTCCTCCACTTTCTATATTAAAATCGTTTTTTAAAAGCAGCCAATTGTCTTTGAAGATTTGCTCAGTGCCAGGCCTTGTGCCAAGTGCTGTACATGCATTATATCATTTTTCCTTGCAATAAATCTATGAGGAATTCCTATCAATGTCCTTTTTTTAAAAAAAAAAAAAGAATGAAAAAGAAAAAACGATAGGACACTAAAGCTTAGAGAGATAACCTGACTTGGCAGACATTTCAAACCAATTGGGTCTGCTCAAGTCTAAAACTCTTGCTCTTGATGCCGATGATATTGTGCCTCTGAGTCATCACTGACCCCACCTCTCTCACTCTTTTCTGACTCCCACACCTTCCTCTGAGGCCTCTGCCCTACCACTGGTGGCACAGTTTTGTCTGCCTGTGACTTGGAGGTTTATGGTCAGCTGCACATCCATGGTCAACCCCCACTGCATCTGCTGTAAAAATCTCCATCCACCTCCCTAGCCTGCCTTTCTTTAAGGACCACATCTTGTTAACCTCACCTCCTGACATATAGCAAAAGTCAGGAACTGTGACTTCTTTACTTTATAGTCCTAAATCCTCCCGCAAGTGGGCCCCAAACAAATCTATTCAACAAATAAATATATCTTTAACATGAAAATGGTAAGTAATATGTGAATAAAAATAATATCCAAAATTCTTAGGGCCACTAATTATTTTAAACATTGTCCATTTTATATAGAAATCCTCGATATGTTAATTTGCATTTTTTTCCAAGAAGATTCCTCACAGCTGACTAGTAGGCAATTTTGTTGGTTTGGATTGAATTAAGGCAATATATTTAAATTTAAATGTGGAAAACTGGGTGCTATAGTTTGGATATGGTTTGTCCCAATCCAAACTCATGTCAAAATGGGAATCTCAGTGCGGCGGTGTTGGAAAGTGGGGCCTAGTGAAGATGTTTAGGTCATAGGAGTGGATCCCTTGTGTGTACATTAATAGCTTCCCATGGGGTGAACTCTTGCTCTCAAGAAAGTGGGTTATTAAAAAGTGTCTGGCATCCTCAATTGCTTTATTTTGCTTCTTTTTCTTACCATGGGATCTCTTTCCACACAACTGCTCCCATTCTGCTTTCTGCCATGAGTGGAAGCAGCATGAGGCCCTTACCAGGTGCAGCTGCCCAATTCTGGACTTTTCAGCCACCAGAATTGAGAACTAAATAAACATTTTTTCTTGATGAATTCCAGTCTCAGGTATCTGTTACAGCAGTACAAACTGGACTAGGAGACTAAGTTGTTGTTTTTTTGGTTTTTTTTATGTTAAAAAACTAATTTTTATTGTAATCAATTTACATTTGCTTTTATTTGTTAACTACAATTATTTATTTATTTATTTATTTATTTTTTTATTATTATACTTTAAGTTCTAGGGTACATGTGCATAATGTGCAGGTTTGTTACATATGTATACTTGTGCCATGTTGGTGTGCTGCACCCATCAACTCGTCAGCACCCATCAACTCGTCATTTACATCAGGTATAACGCCCAATGCCATCCCTCCCCCCTCCCCCCTCCCCATGATAGGCCCCGGTGTGTGATGTTCCCCTTCCCGAGTCCAAGTGATCTCATTGTTCAGTCCCCACCTATAAGAGAGAACATGCGGTGTTTGGTTTTCTGTTCTTGTGATAGTTTGCTAAGAATGATGGTTTCCAGCTGCATCCATGTCTCTACAAAGGACACAAACTCATCCTTTTTTATGGCTGCATAGTATTCCATGGTGTATATGTGCCACATTTTCTTAATCCAGTCTGCCACTGATGGACATTTGGGTTGATTCCAAGTCTTTGCTATTGTGAATAGTGCCGCAATAAACATATGTGTGCATATGTCTTAAACTGGAAAGAAAGATTTAGCCCCACAAAAATATTTATGTAACTTCTTCCAAATCTTAACTTCAGTGTTTCATTATAAGAAGAAGCAATCATAGTGTTTGTAATTTCTCATGATTTTGATCATGGGCAAATCCTAGTCCAGTTTTGGACTTTCAAGGAGCTACTTATAAAATCAGATAGTTGGTAGAGCAAAGCTAGTTTAAAGTCAGACATTTAACTTTGTGATCATGAGCTGAAAAGTGAATGCCTTTTGTTTTGTGTAAAGTAACCTAAATCAGGAGTTTTATTCCTTGAGCTCTGAGCCTATATGAGGAACAAAAGAAATAAGTATTCTTTATTAGTCAAGAAAGATATTACTTTAAAAATAATTTTTGGATCCATGAACCAAATTCTGCAAATTTCTATTTATAGGTTTGCTGTCTATTATGTTAATCCTATATAATATGTCAGAAAAAGTGAACTCTTATCTGTCTGAAAATAGAGTAGCAGTCCAGGTATACCTCACTTCATTCATTGTACTTCACTTTATTGCACTTTGCAGATATTACATTTTTTATAAATTGAAGGACTGTGGCAACCCTGCATCTATCAAGTCTATCAGCACCATTTTTCCAACAGCATATGCCCATGTTGTATCTCTGTTTCACATTTGGTAATTCTCACAATGTTTCAAACTTTTTCATTATTATTACATATATTATGGTGATCTGTGATGAGTGATTTTTGATGCTATATTGTTATCGTTTTGGGGGTGCCACAAACCACACTATATAAGTTTACAAATTCTATTGATAAATGTATGCGTTCTGACTTCACCCATTGGCCATTCCCTCATCTCTCTCCCTCTCCTTTAGCCTCCCTCTTCCCTAAGACACAACAATATTGAAATTAGGTGAATTAGTACCCTTCAATGGTCTATAAGTGTTCAAATAAAAGGAAGAATTACACATCTCTCACTTTAAATCAAAAGCAAGAAAGGATCAAGCGTAGTAAGGAAGGCACGTCAAATGCCAAGATATGCCAAAAACTAGGCCTCTTGCAGCAAACAGCCAACTTGTGACTTCAAAGGAAAAGTTCTTAAAATCAAAAGTGCTAGTCTAGTGAACACATAAGAAACAAGAAATAATAAGAAAGTGAAATAATCTAATTACTAATAGGGAGCAAGTTACAGTGCTCTGGATAGAAGATCAAACCAGCCACAACATTCACTTAAGTCAAAGCCTAATCCAAAGCAAGACCCTGATCTCTTCAATTCTATAAAGGTCGAGAGAGGTGAGGAAGCTGCAGAAGAAAAGTTTGAAGCTACCAGAAGCTGGTTTATGAGGTTTAAGAAAAGAAGCCTTCTCCATAAGTAAAAGTGCAAAGTGAAGCAGCATGTATTGATGTAGAAGCTGCAGTAAGTTATCAAGAAAATTCAACCAAGATCATTGATGAAGATGGCTACACTAAACAATAGGTTTCTCATATAGATGAAACAGCCTTATGTTGGAAGAAGAGGCTGTCTAGGCCTTTTACAGCTAGAAAGGAAAAGTTAATGCCTGGCTTCAAAGCTTCAAAGAACAGGCTGACTCTCTTGATATGGGCTAAGGGCAGCTGGTGACTTTAAGTTGAGCCAGTGCTCATGTATCATTGTGAAAATCCTGAAGTTCTTAAGAGTTACACCAAATCTATTCTTGCTGTACTCTAGAAATGGAAAATTAAAACTGGATGGCAACACATTTGTTTACAGCATAGTTTACTGATTATTTTAAGTCCACTAGTTGAGACACACTGCTCAAAGATTCCTTTCAAAATACTATTGCTCATTGACAATGCACCTGGTCACCTAAGAGCTCTTGATGGAGATTTACAAGGATATTAATGTTGTTTTCATGCCTGCTAATTCAACATGCATTATGCAGTCCATGTATCAATGAGTCATTTCAACTTTCAAGTCTCATAATTTATGAAATACCTTTTGTAAGGTTATAGCTGCCACAGACAGTAAATCCTTTCATGGATCTGAACAAAGTAAATCAAAAACCTTTTGGAAAGGGCTCACCATTCTATATGCCATTAAGAACATTCATGATTCATGGTAAGAGGTCAAAATGTAAACATTAACAAGAATTTAGAAGAAGTTGATTCCAACCCTAATGGATGACTTGAAGGGGTTCAAGACTTCAGTGGAGGAAGGAACTGCAGATGTCCCGAAAATAACAAGAGAACTAGAATTAGAAGTGGAGCCTGAAAATGTGACTGAA